AAATCAAACAAATATTCATATTTGACCTGATTGTTTAGAGGTCATAATGCGTGATCAAAACCGAAAGTTTCTGTGATGAATGCCCTTGTACTGTTCACCATGTAAGAATTTATTCACTATGTAAGAATTCGTTCACCATGTAAGAACTTGTTCGTTATGCTTCAGAAGATTGGAGACTGACGAGAATTAGACTTGAGATGGATTAATGATTGTACATTGAGCATTGATCCCCCTATACTGAATTTTATTGTTAACAACCATTTGATCAATAAATATGAGAGATGCCCTCTCAAAAAAAACCAAAAAAACCATTCAGGCTTATTTCAGTCTACCCCAACCGTTAACTCTATGAGTGATGTTTGAGTGAATATCCTTGAACAAATATCCCTGCCCCATTGTGTGATACTCCTTGTGGTAGAATCCAAGAAGAATTGCAAGGTCAAAGAGACCTTTTGATTGAGTCTTAACAAAATACCCACCAAGAACATTGTACCATTGTCCCTTCCTTCAGTTCCTTTATATAAGAGTAGAGATCTGCCCAACCTCTGCCTCCTACCATTTTGGGGTTTCACTGGGGTTCTCTTGGAGGAACTTATTTCCTCAGCAGTTCCCCTTTGCACCTGTGTAGTAGGGCAGGTCCTTTGGTTCGTTTAATTTTCATAGTCAGTGGAAATCCAGCTGACAGTACAGCTTAGAGATGTCTGCCTGAATTCAGCTCTGAGCTCCACCGCTTTCTAAGAGTATCACCTTGGGAGGTTGCATAACCTTTCTGAATTGTTTCTTCATCTGCAAAATAATTATTACAGTATTTTCTGAATAGGATTTCTGTGAAACTTAAATGAGGTGTGTATACAAAGTGTTCCCATCATAGTCTTAGCATATTAATAGCCAATATACATTAACTAGTAACATTTGTATTATTTGCTTTATGTTTCAGAAATTTCTTTGTTTCTGTTCTGCTAATGGTATTTCTCCCAGTTTTCTGGCATTAGTCTAAGTGGATTCTGATTCTTTTTCCCCCCTTCATTTAATTTGGATTTCGACTGGGAGAAGGAGATGAATGTACAGGCTTAGTGACTTTTGACAGACCCCTGGGACTTTGCCTTTTTTTCCTCTATCCTCACAGTAGGTGGCATGTGTCTGCACCAGTGGGTACTCAATAAATATTTGTTTAATGGTGGAGAGGTGGCTACAGAAATAACCTAAATAGTTGACTTGAAATGCTTAGAATCCTGAGACATTTTGGCTACACCTCCCGATGTCATCTTCTTACCAAATCTTCTGGTGGAGAAAGATGGTCCTGGATGAACAGGAATGGGTATGCCGTTACAGGAGTCAGTGACATTCAGGGATATAGCTGTGCTCTTCAGCCGGGACGAGTGGCTGCACCTGGACTCTGCGCAGAGGACCTTGTACCGGGAGGTGATGCTGGAGAACTACAGCGCCCTGGTCTCGCTGGGTAAGGACCTTTCCTCCTGGTGCAGAATCTGCTGTGGGAACACCTTAGGGCTCGCTGTTCTGGGTTCAGAGTGCGGATTCCTATCCTGCTGCACCCCTGGGAGAGGACAAGTCTCTGTAGAGTTGAAAGTGTACATTTTTGTTGTGATGCCCTTAATGCTATTATTTTCTCCTGCCTCTGCTCTTTTTCTGCCACACTTCCTGAACAAGTTCCTCCTCCTCCTCCATTGACTAGATCCCAGCTTCAGTTCCAAAAAACATAGAGGACTCCCATCTTGGAGGCATTTGTAGCCAGGGCCCTGTATTGTTTCAGAACTGAGACTCACCTGCTCCCAGCCCTGAAGGCCCTAGTGCCCCTCAGAAGTGCTCCTGTTGCCTGGGCTGCCTCGGGGGCTCTGGCTTGTGAGTCTGGGATTGCTCTTCATGACATTTGTTCAGCTGCATTTCCTCCCGTGTAAACAGGGATTCCATTTTCAACACCAAAGGTGATCTGCCGGTTGCAACAAGGAGAAGATCCCTGCATGGTGGAGAGAGAAGTACCCCAAGACAGCTGTCGAGGTGAGTGAGCAACTGGGGAATGGGTGTAGGGAGTCTTAAACTCGAGCTGGTCACAGCAAGGCAGCACTCTGGCAACTTGCCTGGAAATCCTGAGCCACAGGGAAATGCTCAGGGCTGCCTGACAGGAGGCTCGTTGGTGGTAATGGTCTCCTTGCCTCAGGAGGGACCTGCCTCAGGACATCTGTCTTCTCACACTGCTCCTGCATCTCTCCCTTTCCTTTCTGCAGCCTCACCCACTTCCTTCCTCTGTTGGGGCTTCGTGTTCTTTGTGGTTTCTTTCCATCTGTTTTTACACATGCTCATGTCTGACAGATTGGAATACTTCATACCCTCTGCTGCCGAATTTTGAGTTCTTTATCATTTTAAAAGTTTCTTTCACTAACCTCCTATTTCAAGGTATTATTGATGCTACTTTGTTTCTGATTTAATTCATTTTATCTCATTGGAGACTGGGCAGTCACTTCCCCCTATTGCAGTCAAGCAACTATTGTTACAGTTCAATCACCGTAGACTTTCTAGTTCCAGGTTTAGGGAGCTTTTCCTGTAAAGGTCCAGATAGTATATGTTTTCTTTGGGAGCCATATGATCTCTTCTGCAGCCCTTAAGCTCTGCCATTGTAATGCAAAGCATGAGCGAGGAGTTGTGGCTGTGTTCTGATAGGCCTTTACAAAAACAGGTGGCAGCTCCATTTGGCCCAGAGAGCTGTAGTTTGCTGACTACTCTTCCAGCCTAGCCTGATCCAGTTGGTCTGTATCATAAAGATGCAGGTTGTTACTGTTGGGGGATCACTTAAAGATGATCAAATTTATGCTCTTTCTACATATGAAGAAATAGAACAGCAGAGATTTTACAGTAGTTTGGTCCCAGGGCTAGAAGCTGAAATGCAGCGACAGAAACCTCCATCACCAGTGTCCTTTCTACAAATATGTGACAGATTTAACAGTAGTTTACTTCTGTCTTTGTGGTTTAACCTTTAATCTATGACTCTGTCTTCATTGACATCCTTGTTTTCACTCATTCTCTCTTTAAATACTTTTCATCTTTATTGAAGTAGTTTTTTCTCCAAATATAGTTAGTAGGCAGTAGAGTATAGCATTTAAAATCATGGTTTGAATCCAGACATTCTTTTATTTATTTATTTATTTATTTATTTATTTATTTATTTATTTATTTTGTCATCATTAATCTACAATTACATGAAGAACATTATGTTTACCAGGCTCCCCCACAACCCCATTATAGTCACTGTCCATCAGCATAGGAAGATGCTGTAGAATCACTGCTTGTGAATCCAGACATTCTTCATGTCACTTTACCCCTGCACTACTTACAAGCCTCAGGAGCCGTGGGGAGGTTTCTAACCTCTCTGAGCATTGTTCTGCTCACCTACTGCCCATGCTATCAGTGGAGTTATCTCTTTGAAACTCAGGTGTTAATCCTGTATCTTATGAGACTTCATTATTTCTCTTATCCACGGAGTAAAATTTCATAATCTGACATTAAACTCCCTTTGTAGCCTGTCTCCATATTCCTTTAGTCTCATCACTGGCCGTTTCCACTTCACTCCTATTTTCTCTCCAAAGCTGCATACTCATTACCATTTCTGTATTATTCCTTCCACTTTGTGCACTGAAAAACCATTTATCCTTCAAGATCCATCAGTCCATCTGACCTGCCACCCTAATCTGTAGGTTTTTCCTTTTCTTTCCTATTTCCCAATCAGCATTAACTTTTTGATCATTTGCATTCATATAGAACTTTCTACATACCGTGAACACATCCAGTACAATATCTTTCATAATAAATTAGTTATTTTGTTATTATTTATTTTCCTAATTAGACTGTAAATATTTAAGGGAGAGACAGGTGTTTGAATCCTGTGCCTCTAGCATCTAATATATTGCAATTCAGTTAATATTTTTTTAATTGAATTGCCTCTATGATTAACTCTGATGAGGCTCAAAGTTAAGTATCCAATCCAGCCAGACCATTGCACCTACATCATTTTCAGATTCCATTCTGTCCTTCCTCTGATCCCAGCTGCCCACTTTACCAAATATGACCATTTTTTCTTTATTTTAACTACCTAAGAACTTACAGTACTCTTCTGTTATCTATATTCTAAATTCCTCTGCCAATTGTTCAGAACTCTGTGTTTGGCCTCACCTGCTTAACCAAATTTTTAGCTAATTCCAACCTGAATTTCCTTCTTTATTAGTAAGTCTCCCCTAAATAGTCTTACTTCACTGTAGATGACTTTGATCAGGACTTTCTGGCTCATGGGGTCATCTTGTTTTTTTCCACTGAAATCCATCCCATTCTTATGGTCAAGCTTCCTTCATAAAACCATCTTAATAGTAATGTTGATATTGGTATCTTCATTTTCGGAACCTCAAACCTGGATTATATGGTCGAGGCTTCTTATGGAGAAATGAACTCTTACAGTTTTAGTCATCTATTTCCTGTTACCATTGTGATTATTCAGTATTGTTAAATAAATGACTGATTGCATCTCAGGAGTCCATTGTAAGGTGAGAGAATCTGTGTTCATTTTTGAGTTCACCTGCCCATCTATTTTTGCAGCTTACTCTGCCCATTCATTATTTTTTTATTTAAGACATTTTAATTGTATACTTATCTTGTGCACAATAAGGGATTAACAAATAATCATAAGACATCCACTGTTCTCCTTAAACAAATACTTGAATTATTTTCACAGACTTTAATATGTATATATGTTAAGTAAAGGAATGTTTAAGTAAAACATATTTTGAAGTTCTAAGAAATTCTAAGAAATAGATGGTCAATTTAGGCTTTAAGTAATTAAGCTTCTGTAGAGAAATGGGATCAGAATAGTATGGAAAGTTTCTAGCTGGGCAGGGAAGGTCATACTGTGGCAGAGAATAAAAAGAGAGAAGGTACCCTGGTTGATCCTTTAAAATCCAAACAGCATGCTAGGTCCCATGGGCATTATTAGCAAAGAAAAATCTGTATTTTATATAGACTTAAAACCTGTATTTCTTGTTCCTCTTATTATTTAATTTCAATAAAATATATTTTTTTTACTAAAACTGGATGGATTTGATTAATGTAAATAACTTAGTTACATTTTATGTAAGCTGTATAGTTTATTTAAGTACATACAGTTACCTGGTTGCAGTGATCTAATTCTAACCTATTTTCAGTCATGGACTGATTAAAGAAAGCCAGGTTTTGATCCAGAGTTCCTTAGAATTAGGTCACCCTAAATCTTTTCACATAGGAGGCTTGGGCACATTTCAGAACTGGGGGATATATTGACTTCACATCTCTTGTAGACTTTCATTAATCTCAAAGATTGCTACAGAGTTTAGTCTTCTGGTCACAGCTTATTAGAAGAAATGAATATGTCTATTTCTCCTCTTGATCAAATAGAAAGAAGAAATGTATGGTAGTATGAAAAAGTTGTTATTCCTCCAATCACAAGGGATAGTGTGTTACACATGTCTAATTATTCCACATTTTCCTCTTCTGTATAATTCACATCTTGAACTTCAACACGGTCATGCTTCTTGGCTGTTGTAAGTTTTAAAACCTGAATGTCCTCTTTAAGAAACTGCTTCCCCTTTCACAGACTATAATATGAAATATTCACATACAAAATAATAAAATTTAAGAAAAACATTGCAAATATTTTTAAATAATTGTAAAGAGTTTTAGTGAGAGCATGGAGAAAAAAAATACAATAAAAGAAAGAGAGTAGAAAGGAGAAAGTAAATGTGTTACCTGCTTCACTGCCTAGAATACAGAGTAGAAAATGATAAATCTCCCAAGTATTCAACTTGAGTTTATCAGCTGACATTTTTCTGTAGCGTCAGCTGATTGTTCTGCCTTTACTTCTCGTCTTGTTAATTTGTCCCATGTGTTCTCCCATACCACTCCTTAGCCATTTAATTTATTTTTCTTTTCCATTCCATCCTGTTTTGCTCCAGACTCAAGTCCATATTTGAAATCAAATAGCATCAAAACTCTTTTCCATGTACTATTGCCAATTTTATCGTTTCCCAGATACATGCTTGTCTCTTCCAGTAGAGAAGCCATGAATTCTTCTGATTCATTTCAGGTTTCAAGACTTGGCCTGAAATAGAAACATTGCCTCCCAGACAGGACATGTCTATAGAAGAAACATCTCAGGGAATAATAAAGAAAAAATCCATTATATTTGATCACTGGAGCATCAAATTTGGAGAAGCTTTAGAATTTGAGAGCAGGGCGGAACAAGAGCAACAGAAGAAACCTCTTAGGCAAATGGTGGCCTCAAACAAGAAAACCATCAGTGGAGATGGAAACCTTGTAAGTCTTGAATTGGGGAAAGGCTTATTTATAAATACAATTCTTTTTACACAACAGAGTGTTCCTATAGAAAGGATACCCAATATATATTATACTTTAGGGAAAGATTTTAAACAGGATTTTGATCTAATGAGATGCTTCCAGATTTACCCAGGAGAAAAACCTCATTTTTGCAGTGATTGTGGGAAAATCTTTAACCAGAGTCTTCACCTTATTGAACACCAGAGAATTTATACTGGTGAGAAACCCTACAAATGTAGTGAGTGTGGAAAAACCTTCAGCCACAGGTCATCCCTCCTTGCCCATCAGAGAATCCATACAGGAGAGAAGCCTTACAAATGTAATGAATGTGGGAAAGCGTTTAGCAGCAGTTCTACCCTCATCAAACATCTGAGAGTGCATACTGGAGAGAAACCCTATCAGTGTAAGGAATGTGGTAAAGCCTTTAGCCAGTGTTCTACCCTCACTGTACATCAGAGAATTCATACTGGAGAGAAACTCTATAAATGTGGGGAATGTGAGAAGGCCTTCAACTGTAGAGCAAAACTTCATAGACATCAAAGAATCCACACAGGTGAGAAACCGTATAAATGTAGTGAATGTGGGAAAGGTTACAGCCAATTTACGTCCCTGGCTGAACATCAGAGGCTTCACACAGGAGAACAACTGTGTAAATGCTTGGAATGTGGGAGAACCTTCACACGCATCTCAACCCTTATTGAACATCAGCGAATTCATACTGGACAGAAGCCCTATCAATGCAATGAATGTGGAAAAACCTTCAACCAGTATTCATCCTTTAATGAACATTGGAAAATTCACACTGGGGAGAAACTTTATACATGTGGAGAATGTGGGAAAGCCTTTGGTTGCAAATCTAACCTTTATAGGCATCAGAGAATTCATACTGGAGAGAAACCCTATCAGTGCAATCAGTGTGGGAAAGCCTTCAGCCAGTATTCATTCCTAACTGAACATGAGAGAATACATACTGGGGAGAAACTCTACAAATGTATGGAATGTGGGAAAGCCTACAGTTACAGATCAAACCTTTGTAGACACAAAAAAGTTCACAATAAAGAAAGACTCTATAAATGGAAGGAATATGGGACACCTTTTTTCTATAGCTCCTCTCTTACTCAGTATCAGAGATTTCATAGAGGAGATAAGCCCTATGAAGTTTAATTCATCTCAAATAGTTCAAGACTCCTCACTGGAGAATAATTAGGAGAATAATAAATAGGGTACAGACTCCTAATAGATTTTTTTACTTCTGGAGAAAATATGCTAGTAAATAAGAAAATTGATTAGTGAAAATTCAAAGAGCACTGACTTGCCAAATTTCATTAGAACTATTCAATTCTAAGGTTTCTAAAAATATGTGAAACATTTTAAACATAGGAAAAATCTCTAAGGCCTAACTTTTTTTGAAAATGAAAATAATGGAATATGTTTTGTTTTATTAGACATTCCCTTTCTAAGAGTAAGCTTCAATATGAATTTTCATTTAAAAACTGAGTTATTAATGTGAATAAGTGTGGGGCCTTATTTTCTAAAATGGCAGGCAGACAGGACACTTCTATAAAGAAAAGCTAAAGATAAAAGGGAATTTCTTAAGTGTAAGTTTTTACATGGAAATAAGCTTTTTTGAGTTGCCTCACCAGCTAGTTATATATATAAATATACATATTACTCATAAAGTTTTGGAATACATGTATATTTTTTTCAAAAGTATTTGATGCTTAAAAAACAATTTTATTAATTTAGGATTTAGTTTTGAAAATTAAAAATTTGTCCAAATATCCTTTCCTTTTTCTTCCCTATTTCTTAATTTCATATGATTCTATATTCTGAATAGAGTCTTACAGTATTATAGAAGATAAACAAGCAAGTGGGGAGACTGTCATGCACATAAATACTCTGCTATCTGTTGCAGAAGATACATATTTGCAGAATCTGATTATACACCAGGTAGCTTATTAGAGCCTGGAGAGACTTTATTTATAGCCTTTCTTTTACTAATGAAGAAACAGTTTACTGGGCAGAGTTAAGACTAGAATCTAGGTCTTCAGCTCCAGTTTTCTGTGATAATTGCAGGCTCATTTTCTACCTCAAGTCCCAAGAGTGCTGTTTGTTTTGTGAACTGGTAAGGCACAATTTCAGTAATTTAATCAGTCTTATTTTTATGTTTGACAGGTTCCCTCTTACTTTAATCTTAATAATTGACATAATCATCATCTTCCTTTTTCTTATGTGCCCCTCATTATGCCTACTTTTTGTAATAACTGTACATACATCTAGCTGAAGTCCAGATGGTGAAAATTCTTTTGGCAGTTTCACACATAAAGTTACCTTTTTGTTTATTTTTGTTATACATCTCTTAGAAATTATTTTGTGTAAAGTGATATTTCAGTATGTTACTGTTAAACATTCTAACCATCAGTTTAAATTGGTTGTTTTCAGTATTCTTAAGGTACATTTCATTTTCTCCCAGCCTACTTCTTCCAATTCTGTATTTCACTTTTACGATTGGTAGCATTTAAAAAACTGTTCTAATAAGATTAGCTGGAACCTTCTGTCTGAAAAAGGCTTTAGAATTAAACTCAAGCATTCAGCATAGTATATTTCTTGACTTGTCTTAGCTCATTAGAAAGTATTTTTTATATATTTTAAGTATATTCACAAGGAAAATTAAGCTTTTGAACATACCTCAATATTTAACACGGTACAGAGACATTTGCAAGATATTTTAGATAAAAACATGTTTGCTTACCCAATAGCAGTGAGCATGCTTAGTACCTAGAGTTTGTTTTCTAAATGCTCTTCCCCTTTAAAAGGAACCTGGGCTCATTGGAGAAATGACTGATTCCATATTTGGAGCAGGAAAGGTGTGCAATATATTTTCATGAAATAATAAAAAAAACAGACCCAAAGACTAATGGGATAACCTCAGAAAGACACAGGAGTCAACACTTTCTGAAATTGGTCCCTCTGGTCAAATTTAGGACAGTTTAAGTATCAAAAATGATTCACTGTAATTGGTTGTAAGATGCTAAGTGAAAATAAGCCCATAATGAAAAAATAGAGGAAAAAAGGAAAGCTTTTTATAAACTTGTTTGAAGAATACCATCTTTTAACTGTACATGGAATGATTTAGAAAAATCATTCTGCAAGCCTTAATGTAATTAAATCAGGCAAAATCAGTGTATGGTAAAATCCACTAGGTGAAAAAAATTTTTTTAAGGAACATTTATATTGTGTCAAAATGTCACAATACCAGTTGCAAAGGAAAGACAGGCCTTTATAAAGGAGAGATCAGGCTGTTGAATTGAGTTTCACTACTAGTGGGGCAATCTGACATTTTGTGGCTCCTGATAAGATACAATATGAAGCACACATGATCATCTGTGACATATTCTTGTCAAAAATGTTTAATGAGTCTCATTCCTGTTTATAAAAAATACAGAGGATGGAGGAACAAGTTGAAGTACACAATGAGGAAATAGACAAACCAGAATTTGAGACACCTCAAGACAACTGGTTTGGACTTTTCAAAAAACCATTGTAATAAAAAAGTGGACTCTTCTGAATCAAGACATTTGAGACATAACCAAATGTAATATGTGATCCTTATGGCTTCTAATTCAAGAAAATTAACTATAAAAGACATTTGGGGGGTATCCAGGGGAAATATGAGTATGGAATGGGTATTAGATAACGTATGTTTAATTTTTTTAGAAGTGATAATGTTTATTGAAGTATCTAGGATGATGCCCTTATTGGAAGATGCATGCGAAGTTTTCAAGTTTGGAAATCCTTGATGTCTGCAGCATATTTTCAAATAAGTGTGTAAAAAATTAGTCAACTGTCAATTAGTTGTGGATTAGTCAATCTTGGTGGATATAGAGATGTTCGTTGGTCTTCTTTAAGCTTCTCTGTATGTTTACAAGTTTAATAAAGAATTCAGGCAAAAAGTGATTGTATAATGTGATGACTATGAAGCCTCCAGTCAGAATTCTTCCCTTGTATTCTCATAAATTTCCTCTTTGAGAGTTAATCTTCTAGAGATGTAATTTTTAGGAACTAAAATAACTTTTGTTTGGTTCTCATTCCTGTAAGATAAATTCTAGCCAAAATAAGCAGGCAAAGAGAGACAACAAAGGGCCAGGTAATTTATTTAAATACCCCCGGGTGAGGTTCTGTGGCCTTCTTTTCACAGGCCAGAGAAGTCACACCTGGTCAGGGAGGTGGGAGCCTTATAAGGGATTAGGAGGGGGAGGAGTGGGCAAGCTATCCTAGGGGGTGTGGAGAGGTATGATTGGCTAAAGGTCACATAATAGACAACTAGAAACTTTCCTTCCAAGAGGGAGGAGGCTGACATCGGGGTCTTAGTTGGCACATCAGGATGGAATTCAGGGAGAGCTGTCCCCTTTCCATGTACGGCACAGACCTTGGGGTCTGGTCTGTTCTCCCCCTATGGCATCTCTCTGTTCTGTTTGCATGTCCTTGTTTTTCCTTTCTCCAGCCTAACATTCCAGCCTTTTGGTCATAATGGGCGACGACTCAATCTGGCTACTTCCAGCTGACAAGGGGCATCGTGGGGGTTTGAGGCTGGTATTAGGCCAAAGGAGGGGGTTCAGTGGGAAGAGGTGCATAACGGTGAAGTAACATCTGGTTGGTGGCGACCCAGGTCATCTGGATTAGCTGCTGTTGGAGGAACCTGAGGATACAAGGGGCAACTAAGAGTAAACCACAAACTGTTAATAAGGGGCCCAGTAGGGGCATTAGCCAGGCCATTATGGGGGACTGGAATTCTGGATCGAGTTTACATCTCAATGACTAGTATTAGGATTCAGTATAGATAAGACTGCATTATTGAAACAATACTTTTCTCTAAAATCACCCTTATTTTTATTAGAAGTAGCTAGATTAAGAAAATAATTAACAGTTGGCTTGATTATTTGCATAAGCGCAGCAAGAAGAGCAATTGATTACATAGGCTCTTTTAAATATGCTTTGCTGGAACTTTTTGTAAGGAATTTCAGATTGGACTTTTAAGGGCTCTTTGAGGCCAGAAAGCCAAGCCAGACTTGCCATCAGGTTGTGCCTGCAGTACCTGTACATTTGGGTGAATTCTCTTCTCTGAGGTTCCCAAAACATTCTTGAGGTTCTTGCATCTGCCAGGCAGTGACTTTCTTTACTCACTTGGTAAGGCTGCTGGGAACTTTGTAAGCAAGGGACCAGGCCAGTTCTTTTAAGGGGCTTTGTTGGCTTTATAAAGTCAATCTTAGTTCCTTAAAGCTGTCTGTTCATATCTGAGTTTACACACGTGTCTCTCAGGTATGACGTTCTAGTCAAAGCCTTGGTAATGTAACCAGTGATTTTAATTGGTTCTCTTACAAGGAAAGCAGATTCTTATTGAACTTGTGCAAATAAATATACTGCCATGAAATATAAAAATAGTTACTGAGAGTTTTTAAATTCTGGAGGGATCAGGTAGAGAGAAAGATAAAGTTTCAATTCTGCTTATAAAGGCAGTCATTTACTAAACTGTTTACTTAATCTTATGTAACTAATATTTGTTCTGCTGTAATTTAGTTTTTTACTAGCTTAAGAGTAATAAAACAGTGACTATAAATAATAAAAGACTTCCAAATGACAGTGGTTTAAGATCTGATAAGAGCTTACTGTGAGACAGTTGACATAAGGAAATTCTGATATTTCTGTAACACAAAACATTCAGTAACAAAGTTCAGCGTCATTCTTTTTGACAGTGCCCTCTAGGCAATTAAGCAGGTAATTATATATCAGATAAATAAGCTAAATTAGCCAAATACTTTCTCCAATGAGAGAAAGTTTTTCTGACATGTTCTAGGGGCTCTCTGGAAAATATCAGAGTTAATTAGAGGCAAAAGCACTTTTTTGAATTTGATTTTGGGAAGTTGTTAAAAGTTTTAAGGCAGTTGCTTAAATAGGACTATAGGTTGCTATGAAGTAACACTTATCTAATTAACTAGAATGACAACAAAGTACTTCAAAGGGAAATAAAGAAGGTTACACATTTGTTATCAAAGTTTAGCTTTTAGTCCTTTTAATATTAAGATCTCATTTTCTTAAAGACTCAGACAACTCACTGAGACTTTAAGCATAAGAAACTGCTTTGATAAAACAATTAGAAGAACTTTCTGCAATCTTTCAATATTAAGAGCAGAGTAACAGTTAAGAAAACTTTGTTTTTTTAACTGAAAACAAAATTCTAATTTTGCTGTGTACTTGATACTGAGACTCATGCTTTAATTTTATATAGCATGACTATATTAAATTCTTTTACAAACTTTTTACAACTTTCTTTTATCAAAAGACATATTTTTTAGCATGCAGAAATTTTTTCCTTACTACTTTAAGTAGTTTTGATTAGAACTTAAAACTATTACTTTAACTTTCAGTGAACACTGAAAAATAGGCTACTGTAAACTGTTACACTAGCATTTTTCAGATTGATACATTTATGAACATATATTATCATTTTTGGAAATGTGTTTTATAGCACAATTTCTTTTTAGGCACAAAATATGTCTATATAACTTAGCAAACTTTAAGAATTTTGGTTACTACAAAAATTCTCAGGCTGTTTGCATATATATATATACTGTTATACGTTAATACAGTATTATTAAGATATTTATTTGGTAGGCTTATTTACTTATTTTTAGCAACTATGCTAGATTACTTACAAAACTTTTACTGAATGTTAGACAAAGCCAAGCCTTTAAGCATTTTATTCGTAAAAAGATTTAGCAGATAACATTGACTTAAATGACCTTAGGTAAACTTAGGCAGCTGATAACAACAAGGACATGCCTGCCTCAGCTAAACTCAAATTAGCATTAATGCTTAACATTTTTTACTAGATTCTCGGGAAGTTCCAGAATGCTCAATCTTCACAAGCGCTTGTTTTTAAATAAAATATTTTTCACTTATACACTTAGACACACAAACGTACAAACTGAGATACAACGACTACAGTCAGCAACACTTTTTTCATAAAAACATATACACAGATAGACAAACTGATACAAAGACTTGAGTCAGATATCCAATTGCCCTCTCTCTTCTCAGCTTTTTGTCTGTGGCTTCTGGAACCGGAGGGCGGGAGGGGTGTGTTCTGGTGGGGGAAGAGGGCCGTGAAGGTGGAAGGAGAGGGGGAGGGGGTGGTGCAGCCACTGGAAGAGGAGAGCAGGACAACGGCAAGGTTGAGAATGCAGGACTTTAAGATGGAGGTGACACGTGTGAAGACAAAGGACTTAAAGATGGTGGTGGAGAGAGGGGGAGGGGATTGTGAGCTGAGGGAGGTGGGCGCCTGAGGTTTTCTGGCGGATCTGAAAAGGAAGGAAGGACTGAGCAGAGTAAGAGGCTGACAATCTTTAACTGGAGATTGGTCCAGGAGAACTTGAGTCATTGAACACGACATAAAGGTCTGGATGGGTGTGCAAAGTCCAAAAAGCCTGCACATGTGGGATTTCATTCTACTTTCCGCTCCGGTGGCAATAATTAGTTAAGTCGGTGAGGAGGCTAAAATCAAAAGTTCCCTCAGGGGGCCAGCGAGATTGGTTGTCCAAGGGATACTGAGGCCTGGCCTCAGAGCAAAGGAAGACTAACTTCCATTTGCGAACTTCCCGGGACAAATATAGAGTAGCCAGATTAGAAATGAGACACCGCAATGGGGTCTGAGCCTCTGCTTTCGAGGACTGGTTCTCCATGTCTGCGCCCACTTCCCAAAAAAAATCCCACTGAGAGGAGCGCTCAGCGTCCCAAGTGCACCAAGTCAGGGGAGACAGACTGGGAGCCTGGGTGAGGGACGTCTCCTCCACTGCAGGGCCAGGGGCGAGTATCCTGGATACTCGCAACGGATGGGCTGAATGCCCAGACCTGGACGTAGCTACAATTTTGGATGGACCAGGTGAAACGGAGTTAGGAAGGGAAGGAGACTGGGGGAAACTGAGGGACTCACCAGAAAATAGTCCATGCAGCAGAGAGCAGGCTGAGGTCCTGGGTCGTGGAAGGAGGGGGCAGGGCCGCCAGTGGCCAGTCGGGGCCCTGCACTCACACTCCTTCCAGGGTTTTGGCACCATATGTAAGATAAATTCTAGCCAAAATAAGCAGGCGAAGAGAGGCAACAAAGGGCCAGGTAATTTATTTAAATACCCCCGGGTGAGGTGCTGTGGCCTCTTGTCACAGGCCAGAGAAGTCACACCCAGTTAGGGAGGTGGGGGCTTATAAAGGGTTAGGAGGGGGAGGAGTGGGCAAGCTATCCTAGGGGGTGTAGAGAGGTATGATTGGCTAAAGGTCACATAATAGACAACTAGAAACTTTTTTCCTTCCAAGAGGGAGGAGGCTGACATCGGGGTCTTAGTTGGCACATCAGGACGGAATTCAGGGAGAGCTGTCCCCTTTCCATATAGAGCATGGACTTTGGGGTCTGGTCTTTTCTCCCCCTATGGCATCTCTCTGTTCTGTTTGCATGTCCTTGTTTTTCCTTTCTCCAGCCTAACAATTCCATTTTAAATGGAGTAAGTCCATGCCACCTTCTCCCTCCCACCAAATATAAATAAAAGCCCTGGAGAGAATGCATGGAGCAGCTAAGAACCCTGAAAAGTATTGATAGCAGGCAGATTTGGGAAGTAAACCAGAATTTGATGTAGGACTGTTGGGGGAGCGTTGTGTATTTTCCTCAGTCCTTGTCCCTGCTGCAACAAAATTGAAGGGCAGAGACACAGTAGTGAAGCAGATTAAAAGTTTAAAGTTAATTAGAGAAAAAGTACAGGCCACCTCAGCAAGGAGAGGCACCTTGAAAGGTTGAAAAGAGAGAATTTAAAGTTAAAAGGTTACATAATTAGAAAGTATGGGCATCCTTAGAGAGAGGAGTGCCCCAAAAGGTTGGGAATCCCCCCTCCCCTTTTTTTTTTTGTTTTTTTGAGAGGGCATCTCTCATATT